GGGCGGTGGTTCCTGCTGGGGGCGCGTTAACGGGAGCCTTGGTATCGGGCCGTGACTCGCTGTGTGCTGTGCAGGCAGGAGTGTTGCATTGCTAGTTAGCTGGAGAGCGCCCTGCTCCGGAGGCCCTCCTTTCAGATAGCGGTTATTCCCCTCTGGTATATTTCCTGGGAACTTGTTGATCATTTTGTAGCTCTCTGTTAAAGTCTTTATCAAAATGAGCATATGTTTTAAGCAGTTGTCAAAAATGGCTTTTATTAGACTATCAAGAAGTCCAGCAATGACATCACTCAAGTAGATAATTTACCAAGCGTTCAGCGGACAGGAGTGACTATTTTGTGTCATCATTTTTACACAACATACTTTGAGGCTGGTCACACGTTGGCTTAGGCCCTGGTACCGATAGGCTTCGCCACACCCTTTCCCCACCACAGGAACAGCTCTGTGGACTTCACTACTGCAGTCATTCATGCAAATAAAGCTAAGAATGGAGACAGTTATTTTCAGGAACCTTATTTGTAAACAAAAGGTATAGCAGTGCAGTCTGAAGGGCGTCTTGCAGTATTTTCCTAAGTTGTGCATACTTTTTATTGCCTCCTACTGAATGGGGCTGTGAAGATGATAACATAATCCTCCTTTCAGCTAAATCGTGCAGTCTTTGGGCAAACAGTGGTTCCTGAGAGATTTTGGCCAAGTTGTGCATCATGTTTTGGGCTTGTTTACATTTTTGTGACATTGTAGGTGCACAATCACAGGTTTCAACGGTGTTATTGATTAAACTCTGCATTGGACAGAACATCAGTATTTATCCCTAGGCCTCATGTACAATTCAATGTGTAATCCTTTATCATCTTCTAAGAATCCAAACGTATAGTTTTTATCAGCTATGAAAATAATGGTCAAGCCTGGGTTGAGCTGAGAAAGGAGCATAAGGAAACATGAAATAGTATAGCTGCAAATGGTCTGAGGCATGCCTTTTCTTGTTTCAAGTTGTGTATGGCCCAAAGGAAGATATTTTTTGTGAACGCATCCCTTGATCTGCTTGGGTAACAAGATCTAACTAAGCTAAGGTAGAATGTCCCAGGGATCCCTTCTAAACTCTGACATCAGAGACATGTTTCTGTGCTTTCATACATTGCTTAATTAGAAGACTTTGTTACAAGTGCTCCTCTTGTCCTGTCTCTCACGATCTGATCGCTTTTCTCACTATTGTGGGCTAATTTGGGTCAAACTTGTGAGTTACTAAGGGATTCTCATCCAAACACCATTCTGAAGGATTAATGGAATTGATTGCTCATCTTTGGGGGAGGAAAGGAATTTTGCCATTAAGTCTTTTGAGCAGGGGATGAGCCAAGCAGCAGTTTCAGAACTATGGAGTCTTCTAGGCCCAGAGAATATTCCTTCACTTCTGGGATGTTTGTATGCATTTTTCCAAGAGGATTGCTAGCTTTTCTTTCCATTTGTCTTGCTAGCTTTTTAACTCTGACTTCAATTTAGTTTTCTTTTCCCTGTCTGTCTCTGCTCTGCCTCACTTCCTGTGTTTAAATACCCATTGACTTCTATTTAACTCTCCTCTGTTTCTCCTCTTCTCAGGTTGTGGAAGCTACTCTGATTTTTATTTTTTATTTTTTCCCCTCCCCTTCTGCTATTGCCAAGTATCACAGGAGATTCCTCTATCTCCTGGGTGATACCAGAATGCTGCTTCTTGCTTTATTTGTGACACTACCCAAACCATCTGTACTCTTTGAGAAACTGGGGCGGGGAAGGAGATGGTTCCCCACATGCTTGCAGGATGTGCTTCCACGTCTGGTCTTTCTATTCCCATCAGCTTATTGCATTGGATCTGGTATTTCTACCTCCCAGGTACAAGGTGCTGTAGACTTCCCAGTAAGGTGTGACAGGTGATTCTTTGCTTCCTCTGTGCTGTCAACTGTTCTGTAGCTTTCCTGGTCAATTTATTAAGCAGGGGATTTTCCATGATACATTCATACTGATGTTGTTAAGTAAAAGTTATTTTTTCAGGAACTTCAGCATAGGCAGAGGAAATTCTGCTTCTCTTAAAGTCTTTCTTGTCTCTCCTATAATTGCTTTATGTCAGAAATATGTGATGGTTCAGATGAACTTAGAAAATGCTTTTCCCTTGGATGTACCAAGCCATAACGTGGGGTCTCCCTTGGGATCACTGAAAGCAGTTGATACCGTCTTTGAACTGACATATAAAGGTGAAGCTGAACTTCAGATAGCAGTAATCTTCAGGTAGCAATAATAATAATTCAGAAAAAGAAATGTGTTTAACTTCTCCATGTTAAAGTGAGGAGTAGAGAGTATTCTGGTTTTTAAAGCACATCCTTCTAGTGCTTCTGACAATGGCTGCAGCTGCCTTGGTTATTTCCTGCCAGAGACAGGCTCTTCTGCTTCCAGGCTGTGGCCTGGAGTGGAGGCGTGGGGTGGCTCTAGCTTTCCCTGTCCTCTTCCTCCCTAGAGAGAGGGATATGGCCTTCTCTGAGCCTGGAGGCAACCAGCAGGAGAGCAGGTGGGTGCTCCAGGGGATATTTTGTGGAGGCATCAACAGGACTGAGGAAAGTGATGCATTGGTAGCTTCTGGTGTGAAGTTGCAGGGGTTTATGGAAGCAGGAGTAAGACCTATGAGGATGTAGGGCTGTTGTCGTTCACATCCTTTGATTTGTGGAGTTGATTAAACTAGATTATTTTGCATTTAGTTTGAGTTGGGGAGTTTATGGAAGATTCTTTTTTTTCCAAACACACTCTAAATATAGTGTCCTAGCTATTTTTTCCAAAGTTGAGTATCCTCATTTTTTTTTTATTCATGATGTAATAACTTAGTAGTTTACATTTTTGAAATGTGCCAGTGTAATGTAGTGCTCTGGAGCAGGGAGAAGAGCAGGAGAGAGGAAAAGGTTATGCAATTATTATATGCTTTGGGTTTTTTATTATTTCTTCTTCAAAAAGCTACAGAATTGAAAAATGCGCTGGTAAAGTGGGTTTAAATTGAAAGAATTTTCATCTGTCCTCCCACGCGAGTATTAGAAACCTTGTTTTTTGCTGCATGAATGTTTATATTTCAAAGTCAGCATCAAAGTTCTTAAGGCTGAGGAGATGATTTAGCACATTTTCCTGATTGTTGTGATTGTGTCTTTCCTCCAACAGTTATTTTGCCTCCCTGTTTCTTTTGGCGTTCCCCAAAATAGTTATTCCAGGCAAACACTATAATTCTTATCCTAACTAGTGCACAGTAGCGAGTTTCTTGCTCCCACCTGTTTTTACCTGCTGCTGGCAAGAAGTTGGATGCCTATCCCTTTTGAAAGATATCTACAAGTCAGAATGAAATGCGGTTTTAACACTGCATACAACATCTTGTTGATTTTTGGGGGAAGTGGTGCCAACATGACTAGGACAGCTTTCCTGGAGCTGAGTAGTAACCAGAATCCTGATATGCAAAGGTGAGGACCCTTCAGCCCAGTTGGTGCCACAATTAAGTGATGTGATCACAGTGTCTTTCACTTCTTTCTTGGTCATGTTGAATTGTACACTGATGTGACTCTAGTAATCTGTTCCCTCTTAAAAAAAAAAAAAAAAAAATTAAAAAAAATTCCCCCACTTGATGGCACCAGTGACAGCATGTGCGTGTGTGTTATTTGCATATGTTAAAACAGGAATATGGTTTTGCTTGTCTGAGCCATTGGAGCCCAAGGCTGTGGAACGCACTGGATGGCATGAGGGTCTTGAGATTGCCAAGGGTGCCAGAGTTAAGTTCTGAAATTTGGGGTTCATAGCTAGTGTTAAGTGTCAGCCTTTGCAGCATGGCTACTGGAAAATGACTGGTAAATCTGTACTGAGCTGGTTTAAAAAAATGCTGTGGAGAGCCCCTAAGGCCTGCAGAGAAACCATTCATGTTTAATGTACTTTTTCCTGCCATACAGTTTAACTAAGACAGTCCTTAAATGCCTCACAATGATGAAAGTCTACTGTGGAGCTGTTAAGGCTCAATTTTGAGGGAAGGGGAAATAATTTGGCAAAGTGATAACTATTTTACAAGTGCAGCAAGTATCTAATGTGGAGCGCACTTATACTGTCACAGATTCTTTACTGAACCATCCAGAAATGTGACAGATACTCTGCCAGGAAGAACTTTAGAGGGATGAAGTTTGCTGGGACTTTTTTGGTATCGTGGGTTGGGAATACATAAAGGAATATATTTAAAGGGATAAACTGATCCTAAGTATCTGAAAATTACCCAAATAGTAAAACTTTAGTTTGAGTTGTAGTGAGTGATACAGTATAAAATATTAGCTGTGCATATTATGATAGTCTGAAGTTTGTTTCTATTTGTATTACTGAAGTATCCTAGAAGCTGGCGGCTCATTAGAAGACTTGGGTGGGCTTTTTTTTGTTGCTGCTGTATGCTATACTCTACCTGCCTGAAAAGAAAGAGCAACTCAGTCCGGTTTGCCTTGGCATTCCAAACTGAATTCTGAGGTGTCTCTTCTGGCCATAATATGACAGTAGCACAAATAATACCTAGTATTTTACTCAGAGCTTTGGGTTAATAGATCTAAAAGCAAGTTGGTATTTTCCCCTGGTTCTTTTAAGTTTTGCTGTTTCTCCGCTATAGACAGTTCTAAGCTATGTAATTGTTATTTCCAAAGGTTGATTTTAATCATTATTTCTCCCCTCTCTGCACTCACCTCAGGCATTTGGCATTGGGAACAGGCCAAGAGAGGTGAAGGGGATTGCGAGCAGCACCAAAACAGCAGAGGGAAACCTAGGAATTGCATCCAGACTTCCTGAGTTTTTGGTCTAGGTCTCTACTTGATGTGTAAAAGTACTTTTGATGATACTTCTGTGAACATTAAAGCAGGAAGATTTTTTTTCACCTTGTGCTGAATTTAGTCATTGCTTCTGCATTGACTTCTAACAATGCTTAGGGCTTGCATGTATTGATTATATGTTTAACTTTCTTGTGAGAAAGGGATACCCAGAAATGCAGAGTGAAAATCATTCAGTGCAGTTACTATCTTGACTTGTTATATAACCAGCATACTTATTTCTTACATTTATTTCCATGTAGTCTTTATTTAACTAATATGGTATCTTCAGAACCTTTTGACTTCATCTTTATAACGTACTTTAACACTTTGATGTTGTCTGTCTCTTCAGGGATGATTCTGTCCCAGAGGATAATATTTGGAGGGGTATCCTGTCTGTGATTTTCTTCTTTCTAATCATCAGTGTTCTAGCTTTTCCTAATGGTGAGTAAGATTTATACTTTGTACTTCACTTTTTATAACATGTGAATTTCTCTTTATTGCCTCTATATTTATTTTGATTTTTATTAAAGTACTACTTTTAAATGTATTTTTTCTCTTTTGAATTCCTTTATGTTAAGGAACAGTCTAAAAATGGGTTGCAATCATACTGAGCAGAGATAAAGGTAAAATGCAAGTTATTTATAGCTTCTCTGTATCCAAGAAGGAAGTCTGGTTTTCCAAATCAGTGTCTCTATTTGCAGGTGCTCAGTTGCAGCTCAGATTGCTAGGTAATGATGCTGCCAAATCCTTAAATTATGTTTAAAAGGAGTCTGCCTCAGTGTGTTTTAACAGAAGTGTCATTTTACAAATTCTCAGAGATATCTCACCTTAACACAAGCTAGTGATAGTTAGAAATGGTCAAAATCACGTTACAATGTAAAACTACAGTTGCTCAGTAGAAATTTAAGCTGGACAAAAGTTTTGGTAGTTGTGTGAGAAGCAGAAAGTGCAAGAAGATAAAAACACTTGTGTGACACTTAATTCTGTGGAGGAAATGCTGTGTTCCTGGTGTGTGTGTTTGGTTTTTTAAAATTTATTTATTTATTTTTAATTTTTACTTATTACTCTTGTCAGCAAGAGCATAACTCTTGGGTTGAGTGTAAACTGTCTCAGGATTGGCAGTGCTCAGGAAAAAAACAACAGTGATTGTGCTCAGGGCAGCTTTGTAGTTCAGAGTTGGGATGTATTTTTCTCATATTTTTAAAATCATTAATCCATACTTTTCACAAAGCACTCACTGAAAAAACTGAGTGCCAGAGAAAAATGAGCTTTATGCATACGGTGGTGAAAGCCATCCACAGTGTGTGCTGAAAATACTTGTTCAGCCACTTCTTGCTACCTAAATGTATGATTCATGTTTAAATGTTTTCCAGTTTCACCAGACTTACCTTCTCTGCTCCTCACATTAAGTGAGGGGTTTTTAATCTAGTAAAGTCAGTTTAATCACTGGTTCTAAGGTAATAATATCGACACTGCTAAAGAGCATAGGTATCTTACTTCTTGTCAGATATATGATACTCAGTTTGGAAGTTTTAGGAGGCCTGTTTGCTAACATTTCTTGGTCATCTGAAGGCTAAGCACCATGTTTCTTTGCTAACACACAGAAATTTGTATATGATGACTTTACTGGGAGCAAGCCATGTGTGAGCTGTCTGGTCTAGAAACGAGATCAAGAGATCCTCGCCTGAGATACGGTGTCTGCTGGGTGAACAGCATATTACTGTTCTGCAAACAACCCCATAAAAATAATTGAAAGTTTTGTTTACACCCTTCTAATTAGCAGTCTCCTTTTCCTCTCTGAAATCTGCTGTTACCATTGTGGTTTTTTTAACATAGAGCACCAACTTTTGGGTATATTACATAGTTTGATGGAGAACTGATCTGTGCTCGTGCCAAATCCAAATTTTTGAGATATACTCAAAAATAGATTATATGTTTCTTATTGATGTGTCTCCTAATAGGTTTTTTGTTTACTGTCGACAGGACCCTTTACACGTCCCCACCCTGCAATATGGAGAATGGTTTTTGGTAAGTTGTGTTTCTGACTTTCTCAGTGCTTCTTCAGGACTGACCATTTTAACTTTCAGATGAATGGAATTGTCATGAAACAATTGTGCATCAAACTTGCATAAATGTCACTTCCCTCTGACTTCTGAGCAGTTGCTTTTAATCTGTTCTTTATTATGTTTGGGAATGTCATTGTAGTTACTATGTGTCAGGATGCTGTAAATTAAATCACCAGAAAGGGATCCATTCATTCTGATGCTCTGTATTAATCATGTTTTGTGTTTGTGATTCCTAATCTACTTCACCCGCACCCTTCTTACTGCTGTCTCTTCCCACCCGAAAAAGGTTTGAGTTGTTTATACCTAGTGTATGTAGTATCCGACTTCTAACTAAACCCAGTTTAGTAGAGTACTTCTCATTATTGGCAAAATATGCTACTGCTTCATATGTGTATTAAATTGAGTCATTGTATAGTTTAACATTTATTAATATTCATAATGTGTACATTCATATTCTTAACTTATAATTTCAGCAAAAACACCTGTAAATATTAGTTGCGTTCATAGTTTGGAAAATAATTGTATTAACTACAGAACTTAATGACTGAAATCTTGTTCCTTAAACATCTGAATTACATAGCAAAAACATAAGGAGTTCTATTTCAAAATAATGCAGGGTTCACAGAGCATATCCTAGACTTTAAGCACATTTGCAGAGAATTAGACACATTTGATTTAAAAGCTGAACTGTTCCTTTTTACGGGGACTGAATGTTTCTCTCTTCCTGCCACCTTATATAGCTAAAAATAAGTAGCCTCCCAAAGTAGCTGATTACTCATCTGTTGACATTGAGAGGATACTGCTGATTAGATAGTATTAGATAGTACTTGTTAAAGAATCCGTCTCCTTGTGAGGTTTGGGAAACAAAGATACTACTGCTCATTTCATGTTTCTGAAATGTAAATTAAAAGGTCATTCTCAACATTGATACTGTGAGAACTTGGCCCCCTGTACTTTTGGGAGAAGGCTGCATGCAAAATCAAGAGCAACTTTTTTCCCCGTGTAATGCCAGCACACCTTATTTAGCTGTGCTTGAGGTCTCAGACCTGTTCAATAGATGAAAGGCAGGAGGAGCATGTCCTCAACATTTAAGGATGCACCCTCACTTGCAGGCTGTACTACTTGTAGTAGTTTGGCATCTTCTTACCTGATGTGTTTTTAGGAGGCACTGCAGAGGACAGTATATACGCTTTCTGTTCATGTGTGCGTACTTGAATGGAAGTTGTTCTCTAGCAGACACTGGGGATTAATAACACATGAGTTCTGGTTATAGTTTAAAATACCTTCTTAGAATTCCTATAGTTTATTTTGGATGGTAGATCCTAAATTTATTCACATTAATCTTTCTGCCTTCCATGCAATTGCTGCAGGATGCAAGTAAGTTTGAGTGCTAGACTATGGAAATGGTGTTAGTGTTTGTATGTCTCTTCCAAATGAGGTCTTAGATATCTGTGAACTTGTGAATAATGTAGATATGCTCCCAACAGCAGCTTCATCTATATGCAGATCTACACTTAGGACTCTTCTTACAAGTTTTTCTTTTTTAAAATAATCCATATTCAGACATTGGAAGGAGAGAGGCGGTAGTCCCAAATGCAGTAGTGTTTCATAATTTATAATGGTGTGAAAACAAATAGTAATTGTCTTTAAAAGCTTGTAACAGCAAATTTTCCTGCTCACAAGTAATTCAAACGTGCATTAGTTTATAACTACTCTCTATTGCCAGCATAGCTCAGAATTGCCAGGTGGAATTATTAAATTGATCTTTATGTTGAAATCTGCATATAGGCTTAGGAACCTGCATTAGTGAGACCAAGAATACTTAAAGCAAAGGGACAGAGTTAATCCAATCCTGGGGTCCTAATGTATCTCTTACTAAAGAGCTTCCTGATCACAGCCTTGTACTACTCCTGTCTAAACTGATTAGACTGATTTTGTTTTGATTGGGTTCACGCAGTCGAGCATATATCACTTGAAACAGGAGGTGGTGTGAAGGGCTGATGCTCAGAGATCTGACTTGAGTCTTTTAAGCTTTTTTGCATGTAGCCACTGTATGTAGAAAACTGATTTGTGCAAACTAGGCATGTATAGAGCAACAGTTTGAAAGCAGCTTTTTTGACTCTCTGTGTACCAAGGAGTTTTGTGAGTGAACGTGATTTTAAAGCTGAGTCTTTTTGCAGGTCTCAGTGTGCTCTATTTCCTGTTCCTGGTATTCGTGCTCTTCCTTAACTTTGAGCAGGTAAAAGCAGTGATGTACTGGCTGGATCCTAATCTTCGATATGCCACAAGGGAAGCAGATATTATGGTATGTATCCATGACACTTTATTGGACATTTTGGCTACTTTAGCCATGTTTTACATGAGCGGGAAGGGATAAATCTGAATTTCCTGGCATGAGCAGTGGAAATTTGTGCCTATACTTGACAGAGTCAACGAGCCTTTTTTATCAGCTATTTCTTTACGCTGAAATCAATTGGTGTGAGAAACAGTCTTCTCTGTATTTTTTTTCTAATGCAGATATTCAGATGAGTATGCAGTCTGGAGTGTGAGATGTGTTTGCACTGGAGTGGCTTTGGATTCCTTTAAATAATAGATATGAGCCTGGATACTGAAAATAGAGTTAGCAAGGTAGTATCTACATGAGGCCTGCATGATATGTGTCCCCCAGATCAGTTTTTTTGGTGCTGCAATGCTGCATTCAAAGAACTTTGGTCTTGCCTTACTGCCATGAGCTTAGTACATGACTGGCATGCTACTGAGTATGTGGAAATCCAGGTACAGCAACTGCAGGGCTCTGCTGCCTTCCAGCTAAGCACTGGTGGTGTTACCATTGGGAAATGACTTCCATAGACCATGATTTGGAATGGCATGGAAAGCCAGGCTTGTTCTTCTACAGCTTGCAAAGACTTTTCAATACAGAGAAGGTTCCCCTTCAGGTGGGGACACTAGCACGGGGAGTTGAAGTGTAGTAAAAGGAGACCTGGGAGAAGTATGTGAGGTATGTTGGGAGGCAGGCCGGAAGAGGGTGTGAGCAGTTGAGCACCGAGCAGAAGAGGGTTACTGCATGGAAAGGCAAGACTTGCCGGTCTAGTCCCCTTCACTGTTGCATCAAATTACTGCCCACCACCTGACCAGCATGCCTTCCTTGCCGGTGGGTTTGCGCACCTGCGCACTGTGGGCACCATAGTAGGTGCTGTTATCAGACTCATGCCTCAAAACTAAGGAAGTACGCTAATTATCTTAGCCAAATAGCAATTTCCTGCATATGTGAACTACTGCACAGCACTAATCGGCAGTGGCTGCAAACTCCTGCCCTGTAGCTCTCACGAGGGAATGGAAATCTTTACAGTGCAGTAAGCTTATGTTAGCTGATGGATAGTGAGGGCTGCATACAGCCTCCTTACTTGGGAAACTCTAGATGCTTCAGGCCTTGCACCTCAGCTGATCAAGCAGTATGTGCTGTGCAGCCCCAGCACCCAGAGCTGGGCTGTGGATTTCTGTTCCACAGGAGACATGCGGTGGTGGCGAGGCGCGGGCAGCCTGCTGTTGAGGTGGTGGGAGGACACATTGCTAAGTGGAGCATGAGAGTTAGTGATGTTGCTGAGCAACAAAAGGGAGCTGACATGAGGAGTCTGTTGGTAAGTCAGATTCACCTGGCACTCCTGTCATTTAAGTCAGAAATAAATAGATTCAAGTCAGCAGAGGACTAGTATTACTACTGGCACAGAACTGCAGTACGGCAGGTTTCGTGACTGTAGCACTCAGCAGAAACTTAGTCTGTACTACTTTGCAGTCTTGATACTGTCACTTAAAGTTGGAGTAAATTTTTGAAGTGCAACTATAATGAAGACTGCAGCTTGGTGTCTTGTGCAGGGCTGGCAAAGTTGCTTGAGTATAAAAGAAAGTTCAACACATTTCACTGTATGACTGGCAGAGCTGCAGCTGGAAAGGTGAGATAAGAGGGGAAGATGGCCTAGTAAAAATAAAAACCAAAACAGTAAGAGCCCTGAAAAAAGTTTACTTTTGGACTAACCTCATTGTGCTCACTCATGATAGAATTTCAGATATCATGGCGTAGCTAGGGAGTTGCACATTCCATTGCGTATTTAGTACTTCTCATGCTTTTGTTAGGAAATGAAACACAATGGCTATAAGACTTTGTGGGTGTGTAGATCAAGGTGCCAAAGTGAAGATTCAACTCCGAGTTTTGAGATTTGAACCTGGATGTTTTTCTGCATATATGTATGAGGAGAAGGAAGCAGAAATATGGAAGGAAGCTCTAGTGTGTGTGGATTTGTCCACCATTCTGCCAAGGTGTTCCCAGTTGTACTGGGAATACAGCAAATGAGCCAGTTTCAGATCTCTTTGGGTATGTGCACTGATGGTGCAGCTTTGCCATCCTTAGGACAGGTGGTGCATCTTTCTCTGACTGACCAGCAGCCCTGGCCTGTGTGAGAAGCAGTACCACGCTTTCACTTCAGGGAGCGCCAGCAGTAAGGGCTACTTAGATTTTCATAGTGGGACTTAGCTGCCTCCTGATAGGGAGAATGAGAGATAGGAGAAGTATTTGTGTGAAATTGTGCATTCTTTTCTTTATGGAGACCAGGATTTAAATCTTTCTTTGCCATCCCCTTTTCAACTTGATCATGGTTCATTTGTGCAGGATTAGCAATAGCTCTGGCCTGAAGGAGAATCCTTTCTTAATTCAGCAGCACTGAGCACTGCTGTGTTGTCACCTGCAGGTGGCAATGTGTATTTTAGGAGGGATTTTTTTAAAAATGTGCATACTCAGTGAGGAGACAGAACCCCACAGATGCAGTCTCGTGACAGCACACAGATTTGTCTTTTTTTTTAATTGGGCAATGATTTCTAGCACTTGCTGTACAACATTATGAACACATTTCCTTTGTTATTGATGACTAGAATATTAATTAATATTCTTAAGGATTCTGCCACTCATCTGTGACAGAACAGTTGCAAGTTCCCTTTGATATTTTTGTTTTCCCTTCAGCCCTGTGACTGAACTTTCTCAATATGAATGTTTTATGGGAAATTGCTTTGATGAGGAAAATAAGACACTCAAATGAACATTGATAAGATACTCAAATGAACTTTGAAATGAGTAACATAACATCACAAACTGGTGAGGATTAGCCAGTGATGAGCCACATCTGAACACCAGACAGCATGAAAATTGGGAAAGGTGGTTATTTCAAATCAAGACCCCAAAGAAAAGCAAATAACTATTTTCTGGAGTATGGTTTGCTGGTTTTATTATTATTGATTTTATTGCTCCTGCTGTTCCTCTGTCACATAAGAAATACACACTCCTTCAAGAACCAAGGTCTGTTCTATTTCTCTTTAAATTACAGCTGTACTTTGATGACACTGAGTCTTAATACTGAAAGTTTGCCTTCAGAGTTTAGAAGGATAAAAAGTGGAATAATGGATATTTTAATATCCTTGTAATTTCACGCTTGTTACATTGGATAGAAAGAAGTTTCTTCATTCTAGTGTTTCTGAAGTTGCCTGTTCATTGAGGGTTTTTGTTGGGTTTATTTCTTTTCATTAACAGGAGTATGCTGTGAACTGTCATGTTATCACCTGGGAGAGAATCCTCAGCCACTTTGATATATTTGCTTTTGGGCATTTCTGGGGCTGGGCTATGAAGGCTTTGCTGATCCGCAGCTACGGGCTGTGCTGGACTATTAGCATCACCTGGGAACTCACTGAGGTAGGCCACACATTTATCTTAATTAAGCAAATGTATGAGACTTGAATTGTTCTTGGGGGGAAGTATGAATGTTATTAGAAGGATGACTCACTAGTTCTCAGTATAGATTTACATGTTAAGCCTTATAAACCAGATGCTGAGCAATTGGTGCAGTTGCATTAGTGGATAACAGCAAACTAGGGTTTAGGTAAGTGACTTACTACTACTTGAATAGGAGGGGAGTCTAGGCCAGCCTACTGATGCCATCCATGTTTTTCTGCTGTTATGGCAGTCCACACTCGTGCTACTTCAGATGTTGACTAATATTCCCTGTACAGAGCAATTCTTCTTTTTCACCTTGCAGTATCTGTAATCTATTGTTATGATTCCCGTACCCCAAATACAACAGTATTAGGCATTGTGTATAGTCATGCATACTGTACAGTGAAATGGAGTTGAGGGATCCCTGAGGAAGGTGTGAGGACCCATGAGGAGACGTCCATATGGAATGGCAAGACACCATTCGGTGTGTTTTCTGTCGTGAGGCCTGAGTGCATAGCCCTTCTTTTGTTAAATTGTACCCCACAAGCCTAGTTTGTTCACATTCGCTGACGTAAAAATGTGATTGTTACTAGACCTGGATCGAAGCTAGTTCACATGCAGTGCAGTCCCCTGCACCATGGTTTGGAGGACCACTGACTTATTTTTGTTATCGAGCTTTACCGCAGTTCTCCCAAGCACGTGCTTATGTCATTTGACCGTTGGCACTTTTAAATCCTGTTCTGGAAGAATAAACACAGATGCTTGATACTCGACTTGATTCAGTCAGTTGACTGTTGCTTGAACTGCTGGTCCTTATTGTTAGATCTGGTTTAAGAAGTCAAGCTGATTAATTGCTACTTTAAATATTTATTCATTTGCATGTAACCTAGCGCTTGATTAGTAGAATATATATCACCTAAAATCCAAAGATATATTTCTATAAAAATGAGTTTAATTTCATTATATTTTTTGATTGGACAATTCGGAGAGGAAAAAAATTCCAATGTTTATCAGTTTCTGGGACAGCGTAGTCTAACCTGTCACACTTAAAATACTAAGTGTAGATGTAAGCACCTGAATTTAGTCTTTTAAATCATAGTTTTATGTAGAGCTTGCTTTCTTGAGAATGCTTGGTTCATCTGACAAGGCATTTATAATTCTGAAACATAGATGAGGATTTAGTTGTCTAAAATTAAACTTCTGGGTTTGAAAATACTAGTGCCATGAGTTCCTTTTCAAAACCTGATTTTGTTCTGTGGCATCGAAGGATACGCTGTTTTCTAAGGTATTTTGACACTGCTTAAGGTTGGGATTTCACAAGTATCCATCCACAAAAAAACAACTTTGCTCATTACTGTACTCATTTTTTCCCTCTGGAAAAGAATAAATTTGGATTTGTTTCACATGCACTCTTATCGTTCAGTTGATCATCGTCTTCAATTTGATACTGCATGAGGTGTCTAGTGTTCCCTGATGTTGAAAGGCAGATTATTGGAACAGACAATATGTTGGGTAAGGCTCATCATATAGAGAGGTTATCACCACTTAAATGGACTTTTAAGGAATTAGTTAATTCAGGAAAGTCATTAGAAACCTACAGAAGTTATCAGGGCAGTTACACAGGGATTTAGCTGTGCATCTCCTATTAGCTTTAATGGATTTCAGCTGGCTCCCTGTTCTGAAATGGGACACTTGGCTTGTGCTTCTTACACTTGGATTAAAGCTGGGATGCGGGCAGACCTTGGTCTCTAGTTCTGAGAAAACAGCTGGCACCTTAGAGGTGGCCTGGCTAACACCTGTGCTCTGTTTTTTGCTGCCTTACTGGCTCCTTTGACTGGATTATTGCAGATTGAGATTCATAACCTAGTGTGCCTTTCAGGTTAAATTAATTAAAAACATGAAAGAGGAAATGTAGCAGGATAACGAGCAACACTGTATAGCTTGGGTCCTGAAGAGAAATTCAAATTTTCTTTTCTACAAGTTGAAATTCTCATAGCCTTGTCAGAGAAAACCAAGTTGCTTTGATATACTTTTGCAAGAGTTTTCAATGGAACTGTCATTGTCAATATCAGTCACTGTAATTTATTATAAATGGATCAGTATTCATTCTTGCTGTATACAGAAAAACTTCTTGTTCCTTTTCCCACATCTGTTTTTTTTGGATGTTATTTATACATCTGTTAACAAAAGATACTTTATTACAAAATCATGCAAATAATCTTCCACAGACACAGTATATGTACATTAACTAACAAAAACTGTACTGTTTTTGTGGAAGTAAGAATATTCTTTAGTTTGCAATGTGTTTTGTTAAGCATGTCCTTGAATATTCCAAAGGGAATGCTTAACACATGGCTGTCTTGATTTCCAGTCCACAGCCAACTTTTTCAGTTTATTTTTTGGGTTGCTGTGATTTTTCTTGTAGAAATAAGAACACAATTATTTTCTCTTAAAGGAGAATGAGAGGCGCTGAATCCATTTCTAGCTCTCAGTAAATTATGTTTATACTTGCTGTAACTCTGGCTAGTTGTCCTCCTTCACTCTGCCAAAAATGTTAAGTCACCAAATGTATCTGTAAATACATTTAATTGCCTTACTAATGCCTCATAGTGATCTTCAGTTGAGTATTCAGAAAGGAGCAGATTGCTTCAGAGGTAACTGATTTGTGCACTTTCCAGGGGAAATCTTTAAGGGACTGCATATGTTTTGATATATCCAGATGGTGTCAGCTTTTCAGCCTGATGTTGGTTTGTTTCTGGCCTGTTTTCCAATTCTCTTTTTTGTAAAAGTACGTTCATCCTTAATGCCTACAAGTAGGAAGGGAGAGTGGAATATCCTTTTAGCTTCTTGAGCCATTCTGGGTCAAGTATAGCAGCAAAGTTTGTAGTGTCTGAAATATTGGTGAACTCCTTAAATATTTTTACAGTCATTAAATTTCCTAAAAGTAGCAAATGAAAGAAAGAGTTTTGAAATAGAACAAGTCTTAAGTCCTGAACTCCCAACACTCTTCAGTACTGACAGTTCTTAGAAGTGCATCCATTCTGCTTACTGCATCTTGTTGCTGGTTTAGAAAACATACTTCTTAGAACTATTTAGCAAAAACAAAACAAAGATTCTCTTCAATTTATTTTCTTTAAAGCACAAAACATCATCTTTTCTCCACGAAATGCAGTAGTTTTGCTTGTTTCATGCATTTCTGTGAATATTCTGTGTATCATTTTTGAGAGGCCAAGAGCTGCGTGATATCTTTATATACAGCATAGCCCCAACCAGGAATCATGAGAAGGAAACCTCTGATGTCTTGTGTGGTTCTGTCCAAGGTCTCCTGCAATTACTAGAAGGATGCCCATCAAATTTCAGTGGTTGTGGCTCATGTCCTTGAAATATGACATGTACTGAAAAGCTGAATTTTGAATGTGTACTTAAAAAGTTAATTTATATGAATTCTGTGCTGTTGCTCACCCAGAATCTTTTTGCTGTATTCTGTAGCTCTTCTTCATGCACCTTCTGCCTAATTTTGCTGAATGCTGGTGGGATCAAGTCATTTTGGACATCCTGCTTTGTAACGGGGGTGGCATCTGGTTGGGCATGGTAGTTTGTCGTTTCTTGGAGATGAGGACCTATCACTGGGCAAGCTTCAAGTAGGTCTAAATTAAAGATTGATAAACATTGTTTGATGTTCTAATATTAAATTCATTTCCTTGGGAAACAGACTTTCTTCTTTGCATATGTAAAATGCATGTGGTATAGAAATAGCATGCAATCTGCATGTGCTAACAATGCTATAAATTTATTTTAAATGTTAAAAATCTATCTCATAGTAATGCTACTGTACAGCATATATTTGTAAATAGGACTATGTATATGTAATTTTCCTTTGCAATCTAAGTTGCGAGCATTGATGCCAAATGAAAATAGAAAGTAGTAAAGCTATTTGCATTTTTCAGCTTATTTTCGACAAGTTAAACTTTGAAGAAGGCAGTGAACAAAACAAATTGTAATTGTTTTCTCATTATACAGTGTTTTTGAACGGGATTTGGGCTCACCTTGATGAGGCATTAGTGTGGCAATCTGTCAGTGCTAGTTGTAATTGCAGAAGAGGAACCAGACTGATTGTACCTGTGCTGTTAATTGCCTTACCCTGTTGCTGAGCCTCTAAAATACATGGAGTAGTTGCAAAATAAAGTAGCATTTGTTGTGTAAAAGGGCAACAGCTTATGTCCTAGTAAGTGTCCGATCCTAGCTGTCCAGGTATGCTTTCTTCCATAGTTTTTTGCCCCTCTCCTGCCTTCTTCCCTGCCAGTTGGTGGCAAGCATGGTTATCTGCACGTTACCAATGGTATGGATGAAACAGGATCAAATACAATGAATTGCCAAAGGATTTGGCTTCCAAATTTATACCCTGCATGAAGTTCTGTACTGCTTTCTTTTCTTACTCACAAATTTGTTAATTGCTCTGAGAACCATCCAGCCTTTAGTCTCAATTCAATTTTCTTGCATTTCAGTTCAGGAAAAATAATGAGCATTATAGAGTTCATGGTCCCTCTCTTTATAGAGTTCACTGAAAGTTAAAACAGCAGAATATCTATGGCAGGACTAGTCTTTACTGTCTTTGTGGAATATTTTTTCCTCATATTCTTTTAAATGGATGGGTACATTTTTTTTGACCCTTAGTATGAAGAGCTGCTGCATAGAATAAGCAGCTTTGGCTTGTGCCCTTTTGTTTTCTTTTTCTTTTTTTGTTGAATAAGCACACATCTTAAAGATTAGAAGGTTCCCCCTAACCTAAGATCCCACTAGCCTAAAAGAACACAAGTATTAAATATAAAATCTGAATTTTTTTTTTTTTTTTTTTTTGTCCAGAAGGGCCAGGGAAGCAATAGGGTAAAAATTGACTTCTAGCCCTTCAGAAAAGGAAACTCTGAGTTTTTCTTAGATTCCCTGTCCTTTGGATGCTGTTGCTCATCTGAATTGATGTTATGAAAAGCAAGAACCAGTAACGCATCTGTCAGATTCACATCCCCTTTCACAAGGGAATTTAAAAGCCATCTAGCCTTTAATGGCGCTATCACATCTCTCCAGAAGATTCACATGCATCTAATAGCAGAACAGCAGGGGTTGTGTGTGCTGCAAGTGCCATATTTTCAAACCTGTGGAGCCAGCCCCTCATACAGTTAGTGAATAATTAATCTGACAGATTCTTGAAGGATTGGTGATAGTGAGCTCTGGAACATGGAGTCTTTCGGATAAGAGGAGTGGCAGCATAGACTAGGAAGAAATATTCTCTAGATTTTCCAAGGGGGTTGCAGAATTGCAATCCTTGTTTCTCTCCTTCATGGAAAGAATGGTAGATATGTTTTGTAGTTAGTTACTGACTGAGGATAGAGGAGGGTGGGCTTTCATAACAGAATGGACCCTGACTGAAATGTTTAATAGATTATGTTTCTTAATTCACCCTTTCCTGGTACACGGTTGTGTCTGTGAAGACCTTTGCTCATCAGCATAAAAGTGTGACTGTTCTGAAGCATCAGTGACATGGCTATTGCTTGAGTTTTTTCCCCCTTGTATATTCTTTGTATTTACTCCGGCCATTCTCTTTTTCTAGAGACATTCACACGACCACAGGGAAAATCAAAAGAGCTGTATTACAGTTCACCCCAGCCAGCTGGACCTATGTCCGCTGGTTTGACCCTAAGTCTTCATTTCAAAGAGTGGCTGGAATCTACCTTTTCATGATCATTTGGCAGGTAAGAAATAAATTCTGTGAAATCAAAGCTGCCATCAGCTCAGTTACTTATTGGCTGTGTTTAGCTAGAAGATATTCTAATGCAATGTATGTCTGTCATTGAAATACACAGTTAAATGAATTCATAATACAGGATTGGTCAAGGCATTGTTCATGGGAGTTACATAATAGTTCAGGAGTGTAATTACAGAATCTGTGGAAAAACCCAAATGTTACAGATTGCTGTACTGGCTATCAGATTGCTCTTTGCAATTGATACAGTTTTAAAAACTGCTAGACAGTGAGGGTTTGGGGGTTTTGTTGGTTTGGTTTTGCTGTGGGGTTTGTAGTTTTTGTTTGTTTTTTTCTTTCCCATTGACTGTTGGATGGATCACTGATACTCAGAATTCTGGCCTAGATCCAGCAAGACTCCATAATATCTCTCAACTGCTTTGATACTTAATCTTGCAAATGCTAGCAGACTTCACCAAAACCTCTATTTTTTAATGTTTTTAATTTGCTGAATTTGACATAAACATAAACATTATTTTTTTTATATGATCTATTCTACCAAATTTGCCTCAGTCAGTCATACTTGATTTAAGATATGAAAATTATCAGAAGACCTCTGCAGTGTGAATTAGTGTCTGATCCCTTAATGGGTTTCTAGAAAGAGAGCAAATGCTTTCATAGAGGTGTTTAGGGGAGAATTCTTTGCTTCACTAGTATATTCCTTGCCCTAGAGTGGGAATCTTAGACTCTACATCCTCAATCTAACCAGTAGGGCTATACTAGAGCATGAATAGTTTTTCTTCTGTGTTTTAGTTCCCATATTAATCTTTGCACACTTTCTGTAGTAACTCATTACAAGTCACGTAAGTTGAAGACTTTTAACTAACTTTTTTTTTTTTTTTAAGCTGACTGAGTTGAACACATTCTTTTTGAAACATATCTTTGTGTTCCAAGCAAGTCACCCTTTAAGCTGGGGGAGAATTCTCTTCATAGGAATCATTACAGCACCCACTGTAAGGTAATTTTGTTGCCATGTTTTTTTCTTAAGTTTAAAGTAGCTTGACTTCTAGGCACCCAAGAACTGCATTTAGTTTGTGTATAAGTACAGCACATTTCAAGAAATTTATGCTTTTGCCACCATGGAAAGCAAAACAATCATAACTTTCAATAAAATTTATTTTCTGCCAAGTAAACTAATAAGGTAAAATGTATGTAAACATCTGTGTTTCCACAGGGATGCAGAACCAGTCTGTTCCATCTTCTGTTTGTATAGTATCTGCCTGTGTTTGAGTTAACAGCATACATTAACCTTGAGGACTGCGTGTGAAAGTATCCAAGTTGATGAGTCAGGTGCTCACAAAAGTGTAGATGAGGAAAAACAGACCTGGTGGATTTTCTGAGCTTCTTATTCTGTTTGTCTGCAGGAAATATTAGCATGTTAAAAGATGGAACATTACCATATTCTGAGTAACAGAACAGTATATATGCGGTGTTAACCGTTGTGTAGAAACAACCTGCTTTTAGTCATGCACACTGCTTCACATTGTTAGCAGAGTCCCCTTAATTTTTTTTTTCCTGTAACATAGCTGGAGTTAGACAGAAAGCACACAGTTTTGAAGTTGGAGGCAGGGAACTTCCCATTCATGAGTAAAGTGATGTAATCTTGGACAGTTAAATGGAAGTCATGCATTGGTTTATTCCTAAAATGCAGCTGTTAGTGTCTGAAGTTATGTGCAGTGATTTCACACTGTTGATTAAATCACCTTAAACATCCTACAAGCTCCTGTACAAGTGAGCTTTTAAGTATTTTTATGGCACTTGCCAACCTGTAGAAGTCTTTATTCTTAAACAAACCTTGTACTTTTGGATTAATAACACTTGTCTACCCCATCTGTCAGTGCAAATCAGAGGTAGAGAATGAGAAAAGGAACTTTGGTCCCACTTCTTTGGAATTCCCCTCTCTAAACTCCTGAAATTTAGGAGCATAAATAACAGAGCAGAGTGGACTCCAGGCTGTTTTCAAAATAGTGAGAAATTCTACTCTGTGCTTGAGAGGAAAACATGTCAATGGTTAGAGCACTCATCCAGGATGTGGAATAACCAGATCCAGTTTCTTTCAAGATTCAAACCTACATCTCTCAAGAAAATGCAGTTGTTAATACATTAAATACGAACTGTTGACAAAGTCGTCTATTCTCTAATTCTTTTTGAAACTGTTGTGCTTTGTCTAAAAGAGTTGGGGATTCAGTGGAGAGACAGGAGACAAATATGTTGCTTTGTGAGTCTACTAGTTTGGGTACTTTCCTGGTCCTTGCTCTCAGGATTGTTTTCTGTGTTGTTTCAAGCTATTCGATCCATGTGATAATCTGTCCTCCTAGAATTGAAGCCATCTGGTAGACATCCAGCATGATTGCATGTGTTTCAACCATCAGCACTTCATTTTCAGTATAGATACACTGGTAACATAAACTCATTTTTTTAATGTAAATATTCTGAGGACTTTCAGCTTCACTGAAGAATTCCTTTGTTTCCCTTCTCAGGCAATACTATGCATACCTTACAGATACGCAGTGCAAGAGGGTGGGAACTCAGTGCTGGGTGTTCGGGTAAGTGTTGTTGCTGCATTCTTGAAACACTTCGACAAGTGTTAAGTATGAGTCCGGCGCAGAAACAGTCTTTGCATGAAGCCAGTCCTTGTTTTGTGTTGTTTTTAGTATAAAGAAAAGTATGGAGAGATTTTCTTCTTTTTGCAAGTTCAGAGGAAAGGAAAATTCTGGATTTGGAGGTATAACATGGGAAGTGATGGAATGAGTAAGGAGAACAACAGAAGGAAGAACTAGAAACTGCTGGATAAAGCTAGGCTCCTTCAAAGTAGCATTGGCCTTGCTGCCCATAATCTCAGTCAGACAAGAAGGATAAAGCTTTTGCCTCTACTGCTTGCCTGTCATCAGAGTAATGTTTACCTGGCCTTCAAGGTGGGCATTGCTGCTGTTGGCGAAATAACAACAGAAGACTGTGAAACAAACTACAATTATCAACTATTTCTATTCTGTTTTCAAAGAAGGAAAAGAATAATGCTGTGAATGTTGTTTACCTTAGCTACACTCTCTTTCAGTGTGTCTCTTGGGGGACACCTTTAAATGAAGAGTTGCACGGCTGCTTCTGGTGAGAACTTCCTTCTCTAGATGGCTTAGACTGAAATGTACTGTTCTGGAAACCAGAAGCATATGCTATTGTGGCATGGTAAAAGTTTCTTGTAAATAAGCAGCATGGTAGTGTCCCTTTTGATTTATGACTTGGAAGCTTACAAATGGGAAAGCATAAAAGATCTGAAATCATGTCTTAAAGAAAAAAAAATTATATATTTTAAGAAACTATTCAAGAAGCTAACTTCTGATGGCAATGATTTTAAATTAAAAGAGCTATTTTATTCTCTGTGTCAGGATTAGTATATGTCTTATTTCCAGGATTGTCTGAACCAGTTTTGTGTTCAATAGAAAAATCTATTACTGTTTCAAATTGGAATAAGATTTCAATGAGCCATAAAATACTTAGATCTAATTTAGAGACAGTGCTCTAGCAAACTTATCTCACTTTACTGTTAGTCTCAGAGATGTTAGAGTTTTAGGAACAGTGCTGGCCTGAAAGGCATGTTTTCAGGTGAGCTGCACCAGCGTAAAGAATACCCCTTTGAGATGAGAGCAGAGTGTGCTGCCATGTAAATGAAGGGATTTCTACTCTTCTTTTAAATGTACCCTGGAGAACATGACACATGTCTCCTTGGGTTTGACTGGGCTTAAATATTCAACTCCTTCACTAACTTACACCTTCCTGAATGGATCTGTTACTGTCTACGAGTCCTGACTGTAGCATCCAATGGACACACAAAAGGTAGTAGCTCTGTTTTTGTTTAGTTTCACTGGTTCTGAGTAGGAGTTGACAATATTTTCTGTAAGCCTAAACCTCCTGACTTAGGATCCCAGTCCTCAAAACATGCATTATGATTCCTAAAGAAAGGCTGTAACATACACAGTCCTTAAGGGCATTGGATTTTTTAATGATCATGGCAGAGTAACCTGTCTTCCTGGGTTTGGTATGGATGGTGCTTTAGTACTGAAGATAACTAATTAATCACATAGTTAATATAACTACTTAATTTAAAATTAGGATCAAATAATCTTGCTCTGTTTGTGCATAAACATCTTAGTAGTTACAGATCAACTGTGTGGATATTTTGGAGATGAGCATTTGAATACAGACATGTTAGTAAAATCTGTATTTAAGTGATTTGGGAATTGAGATGTTTATATAAAAAAGGAAAATTTCTGAACGATAGATGGTAATTTTAGAGTCTAAAAGAAGACATATTTTAAACAATTTTATAATTTTGGGGGAAGAATATTCAAGTTCTGCCTTATCAAGAAAGATGAACTTCTCTCTTTCATCTAAAAGAGAATGTAAACACAGTCTTTTGCAAGCTGAAGGGAAATAGGGTATTGAATGTTTGCCTTTTGGCTCTGAAAAATTGTTAAGGATTACAGCAACTATCAACCTTGGTTCAAAGCTCTCATTGAACACATTAGTGTAATACATGTCAATAAATAGATGCTCAAATATCTCTTTATGATGGCATAATAAGAACTGAAATAAAATATTCATCTACAGTCTGATCTAATCGTGGAATATGTGCATGGAGTAAGTATTTGTATTCACCTTGATACTGCTTGCTTCTGTAATCTGCTAGAATAAACAGAGCAACACTAGGAGTTCCTGTTTGTTGGGAAAGCAA